CCCGTTCAGTAGAAATGTTGTTTATGTGGGCGTGGGCGAACCGTGGGCATTGCACGACACGCAAACTTGGATCTCTTTAAGAAAGTGATAATATTATATCTATAGTCAATTTTAATGAAAATGAGAATTTTTTATTTCTCTGACAATGTTGTTTATTTTGGAATTTTTCAGTGCTGTTCACTTCTTAAATGACTACACTTATGTCTTTGCAAAAGTCTGTCATTACTGCCTTATAAATGTAAAATTGTTTAATTGCAGTAAGTGTAGTGTAGTTGAAGATGTTCAGCATGATGTATTGGAGTGTGTTCGGAACGTGCGGATTAGACATAATTATTTAAGGCGTTATGGTTGTAATGTCGGTCACTTAAACACTATCCTGGATTACCCGTCTACGGACGAGGCCGGGATGGTGTTTAAGTTGGCCGACATCTGAAAACAGTTGGATAACTGAGTTTTGTAAGTTTTAGATTTATGGGGCGTTATCGTCGCTTCGCGACAAAGCCCCCTTTAGAATTAAATAAAAAAAAAATCTTTACGTAGGTTTCTTATAATTTCTCCTTTCCAGTCTATTCAACTTTACTTGTAATGTAAATACAAAAAAAGACGAATTTTTAATTTAACAGTTGATGGCAGTTATAAAAAGATTTATATGTAGTTGTATTAATTTTTATTTACTAAATATTTCTTTACATATTAATATCAAGTTCTAGTTGTCAATTTCATTAATCAGAGTATTGAAGTTTCAGAAAAAAATAATAATATTTCACTTAGGATTCTACTCTTTTTGGGACAAGTAAAGGATTTGCATCTCATAATAACAAATACCGACTAAAATGAACAATGGCAGCTTAACTCAACATATGCGGTTGGCTTCGGTAGAGGTCGTTGCACTCTCTTTGAAAGATAGCTGCAAGTAAATGTGTTAGAATACTTCTAAATATAACCAATAGAGTTAAAGAAAACTTTTTAAGAAAGAAGTAATTAATATCATTAGTATTAAAAACTACTTGTCTATGAAAATGTGATGAAAATATTTGTAAACTAGTTCTTGCCCGCGACTCCGTCCAGGCGGAATTTAAAAAAAAAAGTGAGTACTCTTTGTGTTCTTACAGATTATCCTCTACATCTATACCAAATTATATCAAAATCCATTCAGCCATTTAGGCTACAAACTCTAACAAACATCTGTTCATTTATCAAAACTTTTGCATTTATAATAATTAGTATGATTAATAGGCAACGTGCAGATGTTGATTGAACTAGAGGCATTGTATTGATAAGATGTCCTCTGTGATGTCTATGGCGGATCTTGCTATCTGATCACGTGACTGACAAATCCTAACTTGTTTGTATTGATATCGTCTGATTTATCGCATATAGAATTCAGTTTTTTATATATATCTAGAACAAATATTTAAACAGATGCAAGTATGAGGTGTTCGAAGTAAATTCTCTGTGTCCAAAAATGAATAAGTATTAAGAATAAAAATTTGTAAAATCTCGTATCTATTTCGCAATACAAAGTAAACAAACAGGGTGTTGCGTAACTTTTACAGGTCACGTAAACATTTTGATATCGAGGACAATTTTACCAAAGATAATTCACGTGCCGCGGTGTCGCAATGTACCTACTAGATGCCACATAGAGAAACTTATATCTTACTAGCTTTCGCCCGCGACTCCGTCCGCGTGGTATTAAAAAAACAATGCCTAGTAACCTATATGTTTTTCCAGACTATCCTCTACGTCTATGCCAAATTTCATTGAAATCCGTTCAGCAGTTTAGGCTACAAACTCTAACATTCATCCATCCATCTAAACTTTCACATTATAATATTAGTATGCGGTACCAAGGGTTCCTGAACCTATGCTTATCAGACATTTTTTATAGAAATGTTTTTTTGCGGACTTTGACTAACCATTTAGTAATTTGGATGTTGCGATTATTGGCTACATATCCTGCGCCTAGGGTATCACTCAATTTCCTCATCTAATACCTACTTAATCCTGTTACTCATAGTGCATAATCATTTTTTTGCTATCATCGGTGTGCCCACAGTATCGTATTACGTGCCATTGCTGCGCCATCTCCGTCTTATGTCATATGATATCCTTTTAATAGTCAATTATTGGTCGCTTAAGAAATTAAAAATTGAAGATACTAATTGTCTCACACAAACTTGTTCAATTGTATATTAGTGTAGTTTTATTATCAGAAAGGTAGTCTAAAGGGAGACCCATAGATTAACAATTCTGGGTGACGAGAAATCAAATCAATTTTCTTTAGTGATATTGGTTACAGCTACAATAGTTTTGATGACGCAAAACTAGCAGTGGCAATAGTGACCCTAATTCGGAATGGATCGGTGAACGCTATTCTGTCCTGAATTAATCACTTTATTTGCCACAATGAACCCGACAGGCAATGGGAGCGTATGGAATGGGCAAAGGATTGGCCGGCGCAATTCCATTGTACATAAAATAGAGCGTCTGTTGACCCTACATCATCAGCGTTTATTGCTCTCTTGTAAGAAACAGAGCGAGACTAACATACTTTGGTAATTTATATTTTAACTAGCTTTCGCCCGCGTCTCCGTGCATGTGGAATTAAGAAACAAAAGTAAACATAACCTATGTGTTCTGCACTATTCACAGTATACATCTATACCAAATTTCATCGAAATCCGTTCAACCGTTTAGGCTACAAACTAACAAACATCCATCCATCAAAACTTTCTCATTTATAATTTTGTTATTGGTATGATTATAATATTAGCATGATTGCATGTGGATAAAAAAAGAAATTTAGTGCAAAGATTATTAGGTTTTCGTTGTTAGAATTTGCTGTCATTGACTGCCACTTATGTCTTAAAAAGTTATGCTTACATATTCTATACTTTTATACTAATATTATAAGGAGGAACTATTTTCTTTTTTATATGTGTTGAAATAACTCTAAAATTACTGGGCTGATTTCAATTATTTCACCATTAAGCTGCGTTTTCACTGAGTAATATAGGCTACATTTTTACACGCGGACGAAGTCGCGAGCAGCAGCTAGTAACTTATAAAACGATTAACTAATAGGTGAATAAACTTCACAACACGATCGAATCACTGTCACCAAAGAAATTAACATTCGCTTCCGTATGCGTTCGGCGTATAGGAAGTTGTCATAGTCATTATGGTTACGGTCTATTTCCTTTGTATGACGTCACCAGCATACACTGCGACAATACACCAGGTATCAACGAATGATGCTTTTCAATAGCATAAAAACATAATTTAAGTAAAAGTAACTTTGTTGAAGTACTACTTTAAACATAATACTATAATGGACCGGATAAGTTATTCAATTACGTAGAAAAAGTAATATTGCTCGGGTCAGAAAACGTCGAGTTGGAATCTAATAATCTGTGAAATCTATTTTCATAACATGACATCCACTAGTCATTTATTAGTAATCTTTTATATTCCTTTTGAATAAGGTAAAAATCGAGCAGTAAAATGTGCACAGTATAAAAAAATTCTCAGTGTTTCAAGGTAGACAAGACTTTACGTAACTCGACTAGGTCATCGTCGGCCACCGACCGTTCCACGCGAAAGTACTGCGCGTAGCAACGGAATATGACTCATCCTTACCATGGGTTACGGCTTTAGATGGAGAATATTGTCATCTTTATCATTCACCTTGGAAGAAACGGAGATAACTATACTTTTTGCTCAAATATTGCGTCAAAATGAGGTAAATTGAAGAAACCAAAGCTGTTTCGATTAATTTAGGAACTTAACAATTTTAACAGGTAACTATAATATTTATTATATTATTTGCTGTTGCCCGACTTAGCCTGCGTTAAATTAAAAATATGACATAAGTTACGCACTGGTAAGGAAGCTTTTAAATGCTGTAAGAATTTTGAAAATCGGCCCAGTACTTTTTGAGTTTTTTCAATACATACAAAAATACAAATCTTTCCTCTTTATATTATTAGTATGGATTTCGGAGATTTTTGTAAGATATTGGCATAGAGTTTTGCTTATAGAACGGATTACTTGTTTTAGTCATTCTTTAGTTTAATGTGTTTTTAAATATGATGTCCTTCATCTTTTTTTTGTCCAAATCACATTAATGTCATATGACATCTGCGAACGAAAGGGAAGTGTTACATGCCATTGGTCGATTAATCTTGATGAATCCAGCGGGCAATTTGTACACATGATAGATTGCTGTGCCTAATGATACTTGCAACTACAATGTGCTTTAATTATTACAATATTGACTGTAATAAAACAAAGGAATCGATATATTCCGAGATGTCCGCCAGATTGTGTGAAGCTGACTCTATTTCATCTTCTTTCTAATGTTGTAAATGCGCAAGTTTAGATAAATATTCATCCATCCACCTCTCTATCCACGTATCTCCGGTACAGTCCAACAGATCTCGCTGAAATTTGGAATAGATGTAGAACATGAGTTTCTCTTTTTTCGCATAGTTGCGACCGACAGATAGCTTAACATGATTTTGAGACTAGTATAGTTTGACGAAAACATAGTATCCACACTAAGGGGAATACGAGGGGCACGCTCCAATATCTCAATGAAAAGATGATCCAGATATACTTTTCTAGAAATAATCGAATTTAGTGTAACTTTTTAATTACAGTACATGTCAACGCGTGTACTTTTATAACATGATAACGAATGTTGTACATGTGTAATCTTTCCAAAGATAATGAGAGAGATGACGTATGGTTTTGTAGAGACTTAGGGCCTGTCCCACCACTGGCTGATAGAGGGTCAGTTAGCTTAAAAATGACGTCACTGTTAGATGAAAGAATCGATATTACACGTTGGATTGTTATCAGACAATTTACAATTTGGTGGGACAGGCCCTAATATTACTAATACAGTAATCTCTCGGTTCAGTCTTACAGCGCTTAATAGATACTAAAATGGTATTGCCCTATCATATTAACTTTAATAAATCCAACGTACACACCTGTATACATTTGTCGCTTCAACAGTTTTAGTTCTTTTCAAATTATACACCGTGTCAAGAATTTACAATAGTAAGTTGTTTCCTGTATGGAACGCTATTTTATTATAGCTGAATTTTTTGTTTGTCATTTAAATTACAAACACGTACAAAGTTAATCGACCGCTTAATTTTAAATTGAATGAATATAAGCGTTTGACATGCAAACTGCTCGCGACAATAAATTCGGGGTTCTCAAAAGTGACAATGCATTGTTTTTTTAAACAGTGACTTCATTGAAATGTTGCAATGAAGCCGAATGTAATACAATAGTTATTCAATTCTAAAGATCAAAGAAAAGCGACACATATACCGATAAAAAAATGTAAATTTATTTAAAGTATCAAATAGTGTAGGTTCACGTATATTTGTAGCAGGCTCGGCTATAACTTTTGTACAGTAAAATGTATAAATCCAGCGATGTTTCACGTTTGCTTTCGTGAAACTTTAACAATAAAACGTTGGCTGAAAAAAATCCTTTCATATTTCATTTTTACACAAAAGATCTTTTATCGCTTTTTTTAGCTTACAATTGTAAAAAAAACACTTAAAATTAACATAATTATGTAGAGGTATGTGATTAGAATGTATTTAAATTGCCAGCTTATCTTTTTTATCCCTACAGGTATACTACATATTCTGATTAAAAAAATACCGCATTGGTAACCAAGTCATCAATTGAAACCTTCCATCGATATATTGCATAGATATAAAAATATTAATATAATTAAAAATGTCTGGCGCCAGGAAGTTTTTAATTACATTGATTAAGGCGCAGCTAGATGCATATGCAGCAAGTCGAGTCTAGGAATGTTGAACGTGATCCCACACTACAGGCTCTTATTACGAACTCAAATTACTAAGAATCTCTGATTGGTAACTCGCCGTTTGATCAACACTGTAGTAAGCTTTTGTGTTAATTATTATCCTACTGATAGTATGTAAGAATGGGCCTCCAACACACGAGCAAGACTCAAAACAAGTGAAATAGGTGTAAAAACCACTACGAATTTAACTAATATTATAAATGAAAGTTTAGATGGATGAGTGTTTGTGTAGCCTTAACTGCAAACTTATAGACGATAGTCTGAAAGAACACTTAGGGTAATTGCTATTTTTTTAATTTCGCGAGGACAGAGTCGCGGGCAAAAGGTAGTAAGTCCAAGTCAGTGGTAGCAACTCCTTCGTATACTAGATCATCGGCTGACGACCCCCCGTGGGCATGTTTGTATGATTGTCCGTTTTTGTTAAGGTCATACAATTTATATTTCAATACCGTAGTCAGCCGCGGTTATTGGTTTTTCAATAACGTATATTTGTTTATAAGATTAATGTACTCTTGCTTTATTTCTTTACTAGTTGTTCCCGTGCGGTCATCCGCATGTAATTAGGAACATTTTATTTTATTGTTTAGATTTGCCAAATTATCAATCACAAATGTCAATATGACATGACATGAATATTTAAATAAATAAATAAATGATGTCAACCTTGCTTCGTTGATGTTGGCAGCAACTTATGGTCTCTTTCCCACATTTAGGTTTTTATCCAAAATATTAACCCCTTTAAGTTTAATGGTGTTAAAATATATAGCCTAAAGCGAGACGTAAGTGTAGGGCTTTTTATTAAAAAAAGAATTATTCCAAAATATGCTGTAATTGCTGACATCTTAGGCAACAAAGAAGTGTGTGTTTACGCTTTATTATAATAGTATACATGAGTCAAAGTTTTTCAATAACAAATTTAATAGTCAATAATCATTTTTATTATCAACTAATGAAATGTTTGTTTCGTTACGAATATAATGTTATTTTTTATATAAGTTTATACAAACTGATGTACTTATATCAAATATCACATTCCAAGTGGTTGGTTAGTCATCTGAATAAAAATATACGTAGATAAGTTTAATGTAAACAGTAAATAAAAAGAGTGCCCTAACAATCTGACCTTTCATCATGATGTTGATAGTAAACAAACTTTTATTTATATTTTATGTCAATTTCAATAATAAACAATACAGAAGTTTCAACGGACGTTATAATAAATGTATGTAGTGACGTCATTTGATTTTGGACGATTAAAATCTGCAGAAGTTTCACAATATTCTCCTTCATATCAGGTAACTATTGTGTACAGGTATAGGGTTCCAATCCGGTAATAACAACGCAATGTCGGCCCAAGCCAAGGCTCCTCAGGGAGCCCTCGAACTTAGTTACTCATAAACGAGGTTTAGGCTAAGCGCCATCTGCGCTCGGCCACCTCAAGTCCGGTGAATCTGTAAATGCCTCTTCAAGGCAAACAGTGCCAATTCAGTTACAATAAATACCAGGTTAAAAAGCATGTAATTTCAATAGTTCAATAATTATGGTCAAGTGAACCTCGGTTAAATCACTCAACCTTTCCGTTTCCTTAAAAAAACATGGTATATAAGAGAACCAAGTCGGTTGTTCGAATTCAGCTCGAGCTCATCGCGTGTCTATACTGCTGACCCACTTTGCAGCAGATAACAGCTGATAGCTATCTCATAAGCGAACGCCCCGTTCGAGCTACGAAAAGGCCTTTGTTGTTTAGTTTTGATTACGGCACGTTACGTAGTCTCAGATAACGAGCTTCATGTACTGCTTTTTTTAAAGCCTTAATTGTTAAAAAATAGTTGCTGTCTTTATAAATCTGCGACGAATGGTTTACGCGCTGTTAATTAATTTTTCGTACTATAATGGTAATTAAAAAGCAAAAATTGAATTCTGACTTCGGGTTGAGTTAGATTCAAATAAAGAAAAAAGTTAAAACTAAATTTAATGCGAAATAGCTAATAAGCTACAGTTAAAATGGAACTTTTGTTTTGTAAATCCGATTTTTTGCGGTCTGTACCAGTACGCCTCTTATTACGAATTTTATCAAAACAATTTATTACAGACAATAATCATTTGTTATATAAAACAATGCACTCAAAATATTATGTATTTGTAAAACATAGACCTCGAATAGCCAAGATATACATGATGCGTGTGCCCTCAGACAGATATTCCGCACTTCCATTTGCTTCTCGCTAGTAAGTGAAATGTCTACTCCTTTCATACGTTCAACCCCTGTATCATTTATAATCATAACTCCTCCAGTGAACACTTTTAACTTTGCACTTCGCCTGGCACTCGTCTCGATGTGAATAAACTTGACGCGACGTTTTCGAGGGAAGCCATTGTGAACGCCATCTTAGAATTCCGGCCTCTGCACACCCGCGACACGAATATAAAACCTTTTTCCACTGTTAGTAATTTGATTTCCATACGCATGTAGGGATTTACATATAAATTGTGCAGGGTTGGTTGAAGACACTATTCATTGTATTTGTGTACTTAGTACTGATAAAAATATGCCATTACCGATATAATAATATTTATACAGAATGTCAACATAGTCGATTGCAATATATTTTTTTAGATAAGCACTAAAATAAACTAAAAGGTTATCATTAAGCTCTCTGTATGATAATTTGAGATATTTGCACATTTTTTTAATTATAGAGAAACTAGCTGTCCGAGGCTCCGAAGAGTTTCTGTTGGCTATTACATATTTATGCAAAAAACTAAACACGTTACAAGTTTTATGCAGCAATAACCGTTGAATTCCTAACAATATTGATTCGATTATATTTTATACTTGTACAAAACTTGGTTTTGCATCTTTTGTTGCTCAAACTTCGAAATAATGGATGTGGTTTTTTAATATATTATTATATTGTTACAGGTCAATTATTTCAAACTCATCGAGACAAACACCACATGAATTTAAGGTAAAAAAATTCAGCTCCATTAATTAAAATTCAACGTCCCTAATTCTTTTTCTTCGTCGCTCGTTATTAGGTTAATGGTGTAATATTTCATATTTTGTGAAAACTTACATAACGTAATTAAAGTGAAATTAATTACGAGTGAAATCGAGGCCACAGAATAGCACATAAGAGCATACGCTTTGATTCGTCCATCAGTCCAAACCAGATGATGGATTCCAGATGGTGGAACAACACCGTCGTCTGCTTTTCCATATCTTTCATTAAAATTAGTCCATTCTACATGGAATAAAGCATAATTTAATTTTAATAATTATTGTCAATTAATTTCTCATACGTTATAAAAATATAAAGATGTTACATTAAAATGATTATATTCTTATAGTACAAGTGCGATAACTTAAAGGAGACAGTTATTTTTGTTATCACTATGAGATACGTTTTGTTCCACTGTTTTTAACATCAAAATGCTAAGAGAAGCTAAATATTTCATTACTATACGTATATTCTATTTGCGCTTAGCATTACATTTTTGTAAACCGCCAGGTACCATCCTAACCATTGTTCATGGCTGACATTCTACAACCTTCTGGTTTTCGCGGAACTTGCTGCCCCGCACAGCTGCTTGTGGAATGGTTTGTCTTCTGCGGTATTTCCAAACCAATACAACTTAGGGTCCATTAAGAAGCGAGCCTACAATTTCCTCCAAGGCCGGCAACGCATCTGTAGTTCCTCTAGTGTTGCGGATGTCAATGGGCGTCGTTGACCACCTCTGTTTCCGCCGCTCGTTAGCCCCCTTCTCTTATATAAAAAAAAAGTTAGTGGAAGCTTACCTTAAATCCGAATCGTTTGGGACAATATTTAATTAGTGTCGGACCGTGTCCTTCCTTCTCGCTCCACTGCTTATATACCTTCGTAATTTGCCTTAATTTCATTAAATCTACGCTCAAGTTAAAGCGTGTGAATTCGTTATAAAATAAAACTTTTTTGTCGTTAAATTCTAGATTTAGATGGAGTCATTGAAACGACGAATGATAGACTTATTTTACGAATACTTAGTTTACATCCTACATAGAGTAGAGAAGGATATGGAAATTACCAAATTGTTTTTTTTTTACAAAATTCCTTTAATCAACTAGACGAATAGACACTGATATACTACATGTATTTTGCAATTAAAGTATTGTTACCCAGAAAAATGTAATTAAGCAGTGCACATTTCCCAGTAGGAATGAATAATGTAACTAGTTATGTATGTGTTTGTTTGCGGAGACGATGCGTAAGATGGTTTAATAATGTAGGAATCCTCGTCTCGGGAGTCTCCCGGTGCGCCACTGCGACAGAAACTTTGTCTCTCAAACACGTTATGTATCCTGAAATCTCATTACATCGCAGAATTTATTAACAAACTTGAGTTTTTTTTGCTTTATATCACATTATCTAGGCGTTTGATTAAAAAAAAACAAGACATCTCACTCTTCGATAAAACTAAAGACTGCATTTTGTCTGAAATATGTATAATTCATACAGTATTCCATACCTCGTAACATTAGACTCATGTCAAAGAGGAGTAAAATAGAGGACAATTCCAATTTGATAGGGACAGGACAAGTACTCACTTATTCAGTAATTTATAAAAGCCTTCAACTACATTGTAAGCCATTAAATGAGCAATTTGCGAATTTAATTAAGGTAAAATGTTGTTGAAATATTTGGTTACATAATATATGTCTAGTCTAGACTGACAAGCGATCGTATCACTTTTGTCCTTAATTAACTTTGCTTGTAACTGAGGGTACAGAAAACAATGGAAGGTCATTCGATCGTAAACAAGTACAAATTTCTCAGATTAGTTTTACATCAACAC